TGGGTGGATCCGTCCTTTATTGATTTGAGAGAGGAATGTTCTTCTCTTTCTGGAAGAAGAAATGGCAACCCTGTTTTATGCTCCAAGGCTGAGATAAAGAGGAAGAGGAAAAGAGAAGCTAGCGTCTCCTACCTGCTGAAAGAGTCGTCTCAACTGGACCAGAATGAGCCCTGGGTGGACAAATACTCACCCCGCTCACAGGTCAGCACCTTTGCTTGTCATGTACAAACTGCCCTTCACAACACAGTCCACCCACAACAGCTCAGGTTCAAGTCCGGCATGCTGTCATGAGCTTTCAAGGCCCTGCGTAGCACGATGGAGTCCCCTGATGGGAAACCTTCTACTACCCACTCAGGGTCTCCAAGAAAACTGCTGAGCTGAACTCACAAGTGTACCCAGTGATGCTGGTCGCCTCTCAGCAGGGGTAACTGTAGACTGGAGCAGAGTCCAGTCACAGAAAGACTTTTTAATCAGAATAAAGCATCAGGACAGTAAGTTTTGATCTGTTGATCAGTTTCAGCTGCTTTGGTGTTAGTGAAACAGGTGAGCCAGAGGGGCAACAACGAGACAACTCCCAAAACCAGAGTGGTTTTACAGTTGGAGGTCCCTGATAGTTACCACCTCATCTTTTTTGTTTTTGCATTTGTCTGGGCTCGTTGTCTGAACCAGTAACCTGAGGTGACACCTGGACCCTACAGAGGCTGTAGTCATGCTCCAGGAGGGCACATCAATACATTAGCATTGCTGCATCTCCCAGCACAGCTGGAGGAGATTCCTGGCAGTTCTTCTAGGAGAGCTGGACAAGGCCGTAAAGGTCCTTAACCTGTCAGCAGGGCCAGTATCGATGAGCATTGTCAGAGCTACAAAAAATGTTTCTGACCAAACAATCAGAATTAGGCTACGTTCACGTTGCAGGCGAAAGTGCATCAAATCCGACTTTTCTGACCCTCTGCGACCATCTATATCCGATCATGGTGTGACAGTGTGAACGGCACAAATCCGATATTTTCAAATCTGATCTGGGTCACTTTTGTATGTGGTGCTGAATCCGATACAAATCTGCGACTGCTGTTTGATGGTCAAGTCGCATTAAATCCGTCTTTTACGTCACTGACACAAGACAGACGCCAATTATCAGCGCCGGAGAAGACATCGTGAACGCTTCCTG